GTGTTTCTGCAGCAATGTGGGGTGATCTCTGAGCACACCAAGAAGATGTGCACAAGGTAGTCACTGTGGGAAGAAAAAGTATTTAACTGCCGATGCATTATTGCTGCAAAGGATTCTCTAAAGAAATGCCGTTATTGGATTTTAGGCAATAACATGTTTCATACTTAAAAAAAGTAATTGAATTATTTGTGTATCTGTATTTTTAAATGCATTTCTAATAAGTAAGCATAAATCGTTAACTGAAAAATCTGCAGATTAATTGTCTGAATAGTCGATTATTTTTTTTACTAAAATAGTCATTAGTTGTAGCCCTAGAAAAGATGAGCATGAGGGGACATGTTGGCGAAAAGAAACGCGCTTGGATGGATTGGTAATGCCGCCTTGTGTCCCTTCAGGTCTCATCGATGTCCGCAGCACACAGATGATCAGAGGAGGGCCATCAGGTTGTTCCTCCTGGGGCCGTCCGCGTGAGTCTGCCCTGCCTCCTTCCTCAAAAATGTTCTGATTTTATTCCCCAAGTGAAAATCTTTTGGATTCATAAAAGTATAAGCTGACAAAGTTTCACTTAAAACTCTTTAAAGTATGTTTTAATTGAATAGCATTCTGTTTTATATAAAAAAAAAGTTAAATGTACTCCATACTTATACTTTTAAAACAGTTTTGTTTGGCTCAAGAAATGTCTCAATCCAGATGTGTCAAACTCGAGGCCCATGGGCCAAATCTGGTCCGCCATATCCTTTTATGTGGCCCTCTAGATTATAGACTAAACGCCAAGTGTGCTTAAATATTATGTTATCAATGAAATCAATGCAGTTTTTATTTGTTTCCTGCCAAATTATATCAGTCGATCCAGTTTCTTGAGAATTATCGTGGAAATTCACGCAAAATCAACAAATCCCCTGAGCCACTTTTTTAATTGGGAGTTTATTGCAGGTTTTTCTCAAAAATTGTCAAACTTTCTTACTTTAACTAAACAGCTGCCTCAGCCGTAATTGATGTCCGATTATAGTCCATGATCTATATAAAATGCATTTTAATATAGATTTTGTATAGGTAAATGCAACTTTACCATCATATATAAGCGCAAATATTTCCTAATTAATAGCACAAACATTTTGATCTTTATTGTAAAAATAAAAAATCGCAAAAAGTATCTCAAAATCCTGGAGGGACTGAAAAGATTAATTAATATCAATTAATTCTTATTTAATTTTAAGAATTAATTGATTCTGGCACAACTGGCCTTCGAAGACCATTCATGGCCCAAAATAAAAATTTGGGTTTGACAACCCCGTTTTTCTGCATCGGATCGGTATCAGCCGATACTAGAACTTAAATGTCTGTATCGGCATTGGAAGTGAAAAAGTAGGTTGGTGCATCCGTAGTATGTTTCTGACATTTTCAATACAATAACCTGAGTGTTGATACACACCTGTATTTATGTTAGTTTCTAAAAACATCATAATAGTTTTTCAGGCATAAAAAATATTAAACAATTTATTTTTACTGTGTGTGTTTTCACTGTGTGCAGGCCGACGCTTCCTGATGCTGATGTGGAGGGCGACAGCTTTGACATTCCCAATGGTCAGGCCTTACTGAGCCGCCTGCAGTGGGAGGACTTCCCTGACGTCTCCCCCACTGACTCTGCCTCATCAAAAGCCAGTAAGGAAATGTCAACGCCATCAATCAGTTTTAAATAAAACCTGAGGATTTGGGTTTTATAAATAAATGCATCCGCTTCTCTCACAGGCACCAATCATTCAGATTCCAGGAGGCCCAAAAAGAAGAAGAGGTTGGATCTGAGCTTGAACAGTGGAGGGGGAGGAGTAAATATGACAGGAGTCAGCAGCAGCAGCAGCAGCAGCTGTCAGAGTAATATCAGCTTATCAACCAAAAAAAAGAAGCCCAAAACAGCAGCACCTTCTGTTTCCAGCATCTATGATGAATTAAACTAGCATGGACCTGCTTTTCATGCACAGGTTTAGAATATGACTTATCTTTGAATGTAGGACTCATCCTTCTTCATCATAAACTCTCACTCATCTACTTCTCCTGGCACAATTCCAGTTATAAACCAGAAGCTTTAGATTTATTTTTAAATTAACGGGACTAGAAAATCAGGGGGTTTCACAATCAATTTCACGTTGCCTAACTGAACCCAAAAACAATTTTGCTGATAATTTTTACATATTTCTTAAAAGAAGTAAAAAAGAGATCAAATAATTATGATTTACTACATGGGGAAAAAAATCTTATGTAGCTCCTTGTCAGAGTTGTCAAACCCATTTTGACATCTATGCAGTGAATCTGGATTTCAAACTTCTTTTCACCTTTAATGCGACACATATCTTGTATAATTAGAAATGTAACAAATTTTTAACAGAAGTAACTATCAATGTGGGTCCTTGCTTGAGAAGCACTGTTTTTTGGGGGGATTGAAACAGTGTGCACGCACCCAAAGTTTTACTTTTTTTTTTTTTAAATTTTTAAAGCATGTTTTGGTTAACTTTCTGCATGCCACATTTCTCAGAAAAACACAGATAGAAAATATATGGGTGCTGCAGTAAGTGCGACGCCTTGCAGAAGTTCTCTAAATCCATCAGGATTTCTGCAGGATTTAGTTCTGCTGTAATCCCTTTTCGGCTTTCTATGTTTTAGCTAAAAAATAATCATTATTCAACAACAAAAGTTAATTCCAGATCATGATGCTGCCACCACCGTGTTTTATGATGATTTTTGCTTTTGCTTGGTGTTTGCGTACAAAGTAGCTGTTTAAGTTTTTACCAGTTGAATGCAGGATAAATGTCACATTTAAGAAGAAAAACCTTTGTGCACTTATAATTTATAACATGTTTCCTAAATATACTATATAGGATATAAATAATTTAGAATTTGTGTACAAATTGAAAAAATAAGATTTTTAGTGAATTCATGAAAAACTTTCTTTGCTTTCTGACATCTTCAGTTCTTTGTGACTTCCTGCTTTTATTCTGCCCCTTTTTTCTGCTCCATTTAAACAAAAGTACTGAGGAAGCACTCTGTACTCATCAGTGGCTTAATACTGACATTGTATTGCACAATTGTGTGTGTCTGTGGGCTGATTTGCATTCAGGGTGAATGTCACTTGGATGTGTGTGTGTGCCGTCTTTCCATAAAGTCATGAAATGTGACATTTTATGGAAGGACTTTGGCCATTTTAGAAATTTACCTGCGTTTACATGAATGTGAATGTGGTTTTGTGAGTGCCTACAGTGGTGATTATGTATTTCTGAGGGCCTTGTATGGCACATTTAAAAAACATTTAGTAGCGTAACTGAAACAGAAGTCCAGTGTATTTTTTAAGTTTATATTTTTTCAGGCACTTTCTGTTTATGAATGACAGAAAATATATGGGTGCTGCAGTAAGTGCGACGGGTCTGTGTTCTGTGATTATATATACATATGCTGTTTTTTGTGTGTTTTTTTTTATTAGTAATCATGCTGCAGTTCTTAACCAACCACAAAGACTTTGGTTTGTTGCCATATTGATATTATGATACCATTTGACCAAAAAGTCAGTTATGTCGGGAGCTGGTTTCTCAAATGAGGTCCATTTTCAGTTACAGTGCTGATCAGAGACTTCCATCCCATCATTATCCGAGTAGCTGGGTAATTAATTCTGGACTTTTAATGATTTGTCAAACATTCTCGTTATAGCTTTTCCTAAACCTGCTTGAAATGTGTGCTGTTGAAACACCCAATTGTGTTGATTTTTATTTTTACCATGTTGCTGGATTTTTTGAGATTGAACAATATTCTCAACACTTAACTTTAATTTTTATGTAACTCAGATTTGTTTGATACAATATTAGAAACGAATAGGAGTGCAAATAATTCAGTTACTTTTAGATAAAACATTTTCTGATTAAAATCCAATAGCGTTGCATATTTGTAGCAAATCCAAATAATCCATCTGCAGCTAAAACTTATTTTGGGTTATTTACATTAATTGATTAATAATTGCAAAAGGTGCTTGATGTTTTCTGTCTTTTATGTGCTCTGAAGGTGATGTTTTTTTTTTTCAGCAGATTGCATGTTTTAGTCTGTGTGCTAAATTTAACAATCACTAAATTAGTTGGCTATTATTTCAATTATCGATTAATCACAATTGTTTCAGCCTGAGTGCCTCGTTCTCGCTTTGAAAAATTATGTTTCCGTTTTAAATGCAAAAAGGACCCAGAGTATGTAAACTTCTGATCAGAGCTGCATCTGGTTTGTATGTGAAGGCGACAATCAGCTGAGGCTGGTGATGTGCACTAGTAGATATACTGTAACAGACGTTTGAAATCTTTGCTTCTGGCGCTTTTGTGAATGAAACCAACGGCTGATGTGCATTAAAATGAAAATGCAATATAGACTGATATTTACCAAGCACAGATGAGTGTCATGTATCTATATGTGACTGTTTTTCCCCCCTTCAATGCTATGATGTTTCTAAATAAACATTTATTGCACCAACAGATTCAGGCGAATGAAACTGACTTGGCTGGAAATTCTTTAATTCTAGATGCAGCTGAAACAAGACAAGTCCAGTATTGATCAGGAAGAACTGCCAGTCTGTTAAGTGCCAGATGTAGTTTCAGCAGATTTACTCTATTTTATTTACAGAAAATACAACATATTTACAGTCTCTCTCCGAAACGTGTCATGTCTAGCAGATGTTTAAGGTACCGATGCAAAGCAGCAAAATGAAATGTCTTTGCCTCGATCGGAGACGGCTGGACAGTTTTTCATCCACAGAAAGCTTTTATTCTAATAATATAACATAGGAGGCAAACTTGTAAAGCGCAACAGTGTTTTTAGATGTTTTTTTTCTTGTAACATAATTTTTTTTTCTTCCAAAATAAAGAGTAACACGAGAGATTGATAAATCTACCAACAAAAGATGAGATGAAGCCAGAGTGTTGCTAAATGATGCTCCAGTTAAATCCTCTTCCACTGCGCTTAGACCGTACTTTTTATTTTTCTTGGTATGTGCTCAAACAGGCTCACTTTGCCCCCCGCCAAACGCATGCACATTTAACCAGCTGCAGCCTTTTTTTTTGTACTCAAGCCTCCGTTTTTTATTTAGTCCATCTCTTTGCTGCAGTTATTTTTTTGTTTCCCGCACTTCGTAATGTGCTGTAGCCTCGAGCCACGTCTTGACTTCTCAGCGGCTGTGCATTCCGAATATCAGAAAGCTAAAAAACACAGTGACTCCCACCAAAGAGATGGTCGCTGGGGCCGTGAAGAACTGCCTGTAGTTGATGCGGAAGTACCAGACCACAGCCAGGATCACCACGAACACGGGCACCACCAGGCTGCTGGTGCTGATGGCCACGCTGGCCGACCTGAATCCTCCAGACGCCCCGGGGCCGGCCCCCGCCCCGGGCTGCGACCCTTCCTCCGGGTTCGGTCCTTGCACAGCCTGGGAGATGTGGCAGTGGATCACGCTGTTGTCGGTGATGTTTAAGGAGAACAGTGTCCTCTTGGGATCCTGCAGCAACTGGCCTCTGTAGATTAGTTTCACCTGATGCTCACGTCCTGAAAAACATTTGCTGGGAAAAGGAGAGAAAATGGATAAAAGATGCATTAAAGGAATTAATGCATTTTTGGGAAACCTTAAAGGTGACCTAAAATGCTTCCTTGAATATGTTATGAAAAATCTATATGCTTTTCAAAATATGTTTATTACATTTTTTGCACAAAATTATTCTTGGATGAGATTTTTAATATTTAGAGCTTCTTTCAGAATGAGCTGTTTCAGGATGTCTTGTCACTTTAAATCCAAATAAGCTGCTGCTGGCCATGCCCCCAAACTCAACGTTTACACGTGAAAATGGCTGCAAACGGCAGTGCAGTTACACAACCGTACATCTTTGGAAAGCAGAAGTGAAGCCTCCTGCACAACCAACTACAATGCAGCAAGTGGTTTCTGAATGGTAAGTCAACAACAAAGCATTTTTTATTTTCCCGCAGCCATTGTACAGTACATACAGTGGTAACAAATCAGCTGACCAAAAGTGCTGGAGCTCAGTTTGGGTTGCTAGGTAACGGGATAGGCTTCGCTGGGGTTGTTACGTGAGGGGTAGTGCCTGCTGATTCGCTATGTCACATTTGGGAGGTTTTAGAAAAGGGCCATTTTCCACATATCAAAAAAACATTAGCTTATTCCCAAAAAAGAGTCTTGTGTTTTTATTAAGCACTTGATCTGTTTTTAGAAGCTGCAGAGACTCGAATGCAATTACGAAACGTGCATGTGAATTTTGCATAGTATGTCCCCTTTAAATGTTTTTTGGCAAACAGACTTGAGGTAAAACAACAAAGAATGAGCTTGTTTTTGTAGATGACACATGCAAAATGTTGAATAAATGGAATCCTCATGATTAAATAAAAAAAGCATATTTGTCTCTCCCTGCAGGTCTGCAGAAAACAAGCTCAGCTTTCATATTTTTGTGTTAACGAAGCAAAACCTGTGCAGAGGCTTTGGGAAAGTCGGTCTTTGTTTACCAAAATGTTAGAGAATTCTGGCATCCAAGCTTGATGTTTATCCTGTTTTTTAATGTGCCCTGTATGTGTTTATGATTTTGTCTGACGTACTTGGTGTTCTGCTTGTAATTTTACTTGATTATTTTAAAGTGTGTTTAGAAAAGCGCTAAACAAATAAAATGTATGTTTATTATTTTCTGTTGGGTATTTTTAATTGACAAACCTTTTCAGTATTCCCACGGTATCTTCTGGTTCTACAACGGCAACCTCCTCTGTGTCGTTTAAAAACTTGAGCCGGATGGAGATGGAAGTGGTGGTGGAAGCACACGGGACGGTGGTTCTCAGACTCAGAACGGCCTTCACCGGATGTCTGTCTGCCCCTTTTAACTCCTCGTCCTCATCGTCATTCTCGTCAGCGTCGTCCTCCTCTCCGTCAGAGGAGTGCGGCGCTCCGGCCTGGGGCTGTTTGCTCCGTATGTCCAGCCGCAGGTCCGTCCAGACGTCCTCGGCTGCCTCCGCGTCGCCCTCTCCCCTCTCGTTCGCAGGCTCCCCGTCGTCCGGCTTGTTCTCCTGTGCAGGTTGGGCGGCCTGCTGCTCGGGGACGTCGGCGCCGTTGGGCCCCCCGCTGTAGTTATCGTGGGCTCCCAGTCCTATTAGTGAGGCATGAGCGCCCACGGTGAGGATGGTGCCCAGGATGTGGTCTCCCCGATCTGCGACGTGAGTCGAAAGCCAGGCTAAGATGAGGGCCAGGGCGAGGAGCAGCGCGCCGCCCGCGGCCACCACCTCCTCCTCCACCCCCTCCAACATGGTCAGTGCGCACACCGCCATCTCTGTTCTCTGAACCTGAAGGAGAAGATGGACAGGTAAGGATCAAGTTCATTTTTATTGTAATATTTATGTTTAACAGCAAAATACGCAAAAATTTGAGTATTGACCTGTCTTGATAACTAATTTTGCTAGATGCTATAATGTCCCAATAATTGTTGCGATAAATGGTAATATTGTTTTCAAGTGATATATTTGTAATATGTTGTAACTTTATTTTGTAAAAAACACTTAAAGCTGGAACTGGAAGACATTTTACATCTCCAAAATGAAACGCAACACCCAAAAACAATAAATAAAATGGGGAAAACCCACTTACAACCAAAATCATAAACAAAATTTCCCTTGAAAACATCTCAATCATCAGAATAGAAATTATTGAGCTCATTTTAATTTATCACATGATTAAGTGTGCATTATGACAGGCTTAACTATTTTTAGTTCCAGTTGCTTCAACTTTTTTGTTGTTTCTTTTCACAAAGACTGAAAATTATTTCTACTCACTCAAAAATTAATTGATTGTTGCTTTTAAACTAAGAAAAAACAACTAAGACATTAACTAGTATCAAAGTAAACTAAAGTTTTAAGACCATTTAAAAATGTCCAACACTCCATTTTATTCATTTAACGTCCTTCTAATGAGGTATAAGAGAGATTAAGTATTCCTCCTGCATCTGATGCTGTGCACTGACAGTCAGATGTCTGAAAGAAGGCTACTAAAAATGTTGAAAACTAGCATGTTTAGCAAATATTCTGGTGTTTTGTTTCGGCCAATTCAAACAAATGTACATCAAAATGTTGTAATAACTTTTCTAATAATTTAGCTGCAGTAATAATAAATTTCTGGTGTCTGGATAAGAACAACATATTTAAATCTAAATAAAATCACTTGTTAGTTCTTTTTATTTTTTTGAAAAGCAAAGATAATTTAACTCACGGTTATTATACGGTAATAGGGGCCCAAAAACACAATCTTAAGTTATGCAAGAGATGTTAGGGCAATATATGATAGCTGTTGAACTTTGGTTAGAAAAACTGAAACTAGCAACACAAATTCAGACAAATTGTCTCCATTTGAATTAATGTATGCGTCTTCATGTTTATTTTCTGCAAAATGCACTATTGCAATGTTTTGACTGAATTACTTCATTCTCACTTTTTGACAGGACCAAAATGTTGACTAAGAGCAAATGTATTTAGAGGATAATGACTGCATATACAATTGAAGACCATTTAATGCATGACAAAAATTGGGATTCTTGTTTAAAAAAAAAAACGGGACGGAGAAGTGAGAAAAACTGGAGGAACCAGTTAAACTGATGACATTCTTAAAAGCTTACGTATTTAACGTAACACACAGTCAAAGACTGTGATATAAATACATTCAAGCAGACGTAATTTATTTTAAGACCACTTTACAGATTAAAAAGTCAGGAAGAACACGACTGGTTCCCTTTAAAAGCTCCGCAGCAGCTGTTTCTTATGCAGACAAGCTACATTCAGTGACTGTCAAGATTGTTTGTCGACTCGTTTATATTGTCCTCTATAACCAGCCTTTATTCCAAGCATAAGGAAACTATACTTTTGTTCTACTTACTTGTCAGACTGTCATTCTGCTCTTATTAGCTCCTTAGCTTACCAGCTAGCCTTCCTAGCTTGACGAAAAACGACCTTCCGCTGTTTACGTGCCGCACAGCTAGCTTCCTTCTGTCGCAACAGTTTTCACATTGAACGCAGGCTTCGAGCAAACATCTAAAAGTCCTTAATAAGCTGCATTTTGGGTGGCCTTACCTGACAGCTGTAAAGTCAAAGCATGTTGAAACACCAGGCTCAGTTTTAGTTAGCAGCTACGGCTCAGAAACCACAGAATAAAAACAGTGCAGGCTCGGTTACGTCACCAGCCGGAGGTGGGAGCGATTGTTATGGAAACAGGGAACCGCCTGTTGCTCCTCCTACTGTTACATTTACATTACAGCCGAGCAACAAGTAAAGAAATACCAAAGTACATAACTTCAAGGAAACTATAGCTGCTAGCCTGTCAGACTTCGTTCAGTGTAGATTGTTGCTTTGCTGTTTTGTTTTGAACAGAAGTGGGTAGTAGCTAGTTACATTTTACAAGACTAACATGTTTTGGAAAAAAAGTTTTCTTTTAAATAGTAACTCAGATGTTATGATTAACTCCTCAGTACTGGAGTTGTCTTTTTAACCAATTTTTAAAAAAACATTTCTACCATTGGAACGTTTACTTTTGTTTAAGTGAAAAATATGTTGAGGTTGTGTAGGTTTTACCTGGGTACAATTTTACGATTTTCAGGTACTCTACCCACCTTTGATAGTAATAGCTACATGACTTGAGTAATACTATTTAAAAGTAACCCTACTCTGAATGCTCTACCCACATTGAGTTGCTTCATTTAAAGGGGCAGTACTGTGTAAAAGTGATTTTTTTTTTTTTTTAGCTTTACATCATCTTATAATGGTATTTTTTCATCAAACTGTACCTGGAGTATTATTTTGACTCTTTCATGGATGCTTGAGGAATTCTTTAATCTCCCATGTTAACGGCTTAATGGAGAAATGTTTTTGTGATGACATCCTGAAGGCAGGGTGTCAGAAAGTAAGTACTTAAGCCTCCTTTAGTTGGGGAGCGCCATAGGATTCCACAGAAAAGAGCAGTAAAGTTTTGTTAGGGATAAGTACAGGAAGATCTAAAATAAAATAAAATTAAAAATAAAAAAGTATGAAATTCTAATATATTTTTCTCCTTTACATGCAGAGTGAAAAATGAAAGCATTTATTTCTTGTCATTTTGATTATTATGGCTTGCAGATGATGAAAATTCAACATCCCAGAAAATTAGGACATGAAATAATAAAAAGAAGAATATTTTAAAACAAACTTCAGAATTCTAAAATATTAATTTCTATGCTATTAATGCTTAATCATTTTTACATGAATTACTGCATCACAAAAGAACCTGGCTCCTCAGAGGCCTGTTCCTAAGCATATTTATAGAAAGCTTAGTGGAAGGAAAAAGTGCACCAGCAATAAGAATAATCAGTGCTTAATATTTTATTTTCCTTTGAAAAAAAAGCACATAACATCTGAGTACTTTATTATGACATAATCTTTAAAAGAAAACTTGCAATGTAGGAAATGAGGATCTGCAAAGCAAATAATGAAAAACAAAATAGCCTATTGCACAAAAATAATGCTGCCAGACAAATAACTGATAATAAAACGCAGTGAGAACCCTGCAGAAGTTATCCTGCAGTTTTCTGCAAATGCACACCACTTAAATCTTTTCACATTTTGTCCTTTTACAACCACAAACTTCAATGTAATGTTTGGTTTTCAATACAATAAACCAAAGATAAATAGTACTTAAAAATACAGTGAAAGGAAAAGTTTCCATTTTTCTTTCTTTTTGTTTTTCAAGCAAAAATCTTAAAAGTGTGGCATGCATTTGTATTGACCCAGCTTTATTCTGGCAGCTCTAAACAGTGGTGTCAAACTCATTTTCGTTTTGGATCCTGAATGCTCTTAAAGGGCCGGTTGATCCAGAATGTATTGATAAAACCCGTTCACAAACTGTTAAAATATAAATTAATTCTTAAAATTAGATATTATTGAACATCTTTTCAGTTCCTCCAGGATTTCATGATACTTTTTGTGATGTGGCCCCACCAACCTTGAGTTTGACACACATGGGCCAGAGTGAGCAGCCTTCATGTGACAATTTGGATTTAGAATCAATAGTAATAAGTTTTAAGATGATATGACAACATCAATATTTATTGGAGTGCCTTGTTGTCACAGAGCAGCAGATATTCTCTCACAGACCCAGGAACGTCCAGCTCACATACAGCTGAGTGACAGCGGGCTCCTAAATGGCGACGCACAGCACAACGGCAGAGATGCTGCAGGGATCGAGGCCGAGCGCTCCTCTGACGCAGCGAGCGGAGAAACAACAGGTGCTCCTGGGAAAGCTGCGGGCAGAAGCAGAGACATGAGAGCAAACGACAAGAGAGCGGATTTAACACCTCAGAGAGCTCACCGTGTCAGGAGGCAGGGAGTCTGACCAATCACAGGGCGGGATGGATGTGTACGAGTTCAGCATCACGCCCAGAACATCAGGATACAAGGCCAGCTGTTTCAGCATCTGGGGCGGATCAATGTTCAGTCAATTCATATACCTGATACCAGATCAGGTAAATAAACCCCATTTATTTCTGGTTTTTTTAGTCAGCCAACTAAGGGGAACAATCTGTTTCTTTGTAGAGCTTTTTTAATTATTATTATTAGTAGTATTTTTTTTCAGAAATACAAATTTACAACTTAAAGGGGCAGAATTATGTATTTTCGAGTCACATTGCCATTTTACAGCACAATCCAGTAACTATGTTGCCTTCAGGTGTTATGACTATATGACTATTGACTATTTGACTTAATAATTTAGCGCCTTGAAATTGGGCCTCTGTCTCTTTAAGAATCTCCTGCTCTTTCTGAAACTCCGCCTTCAGGAAGTCATCACAACATGGCTCTTCTATTAACCCTTAAACAATGTTTTTACCAGCGTTGCAGAAAGAAGTAGCTGGTATAATAAGCAGATACGCACCAGGTGTCTGCTAATTGCTGCTGGCTAGTCTGAAGGAGCTGAGTTGCTTGGGAAGGGCTGCTTTGTGAGGCGGAAACTTTTGGGCATTCCCAAAATTATGGCAATGGTCCAGCCCTGGACGCCACACAGCCTCCAACAGTTAGCACCAGTTGGATCATAGTGTAGTTTTTGCTTTCGTGTTATAAAAAAGCAAGGTTGCCAGTAAAGTTTTAACAATTTAAAATAAGTTATTTGTTAATTTATCTGTTATATATGGACACAAAACTGAATTTAGCGTTTCCTATTTAAAAAAGGAAACTGGTGAAGCAATAGACTCAGAAAGTTTGGAGAGCTGTCAGTTTTTAAAGATGACTTGAGAGTTTTTAGGACTCAGAAGCAGAGGTCTAAATTTTAATCCAGTTTTTCATGAAAATAAAAAGCAGACATGCATTTAATATGTGTTGTTTTGTGTGTGTAGATCAGCTCAGTGTTGGTTGAACCTTTGGTGAAACAGGTTTTGCTCCGTAGTTCAGAAGGGATCGCGCTACAGCTTCAGATTGCTGAGTCGGGTAATCTTCCACAACCTTAAAAAAACAACAAAAACAGCATTTATTCTGCTTTCTGGCTTAAAATTAGTACCTATGTTGTCCGTGCTGTTATGCAAACAGTCTGGTACCTGCAGCAGGCAGTCCATTGGTGTGTATCCCGCACAGTTCTCAACATCAGCCTTCGCTCCATGCTGCAGGAGGACGTCCACAATCCTGCAGCAGCAGTTTGCGCAGGCGTTGTGCAGCGGGGTGTGCTGCTTCCTGCCTGCAGTTTGGGGATTAGCTCCTGCATGCAGCAGCTGCTGGATCACACGGAGGTACCGCCCAGCTTCGGACGGCCTCTCGGCTCCGGAGCAAGCGGCATTCAGGGGGGTCTCCCCCTCTCGATTGGTGGCTAAAACATCGGCGCCGTGGCTGAGGAAGAGCTGGACGTGCTCCTCCAGGCCTCGCTGAGCAGCCACATGCAGAGCGGAGAGCCTCGACTCCAGGCTCCGCGCGTTGATGTCTGCGCCTCCTTCTAAAAGCAGCTTAGCACAGCTGGGGAACAGTCACATCCTGATTATCTATGCATTAGAGTTTTTCTTAACGTTAGACACGAAAGTGATGCCGTATTTGGACATTCATGTTTACATGCTCCTGTTTTTTTTTTTTTATGGTATATAAATACGAGACCATAAATCACTTTAAAACGTTTCCCTGCATAATTGACACACATCCTGTGCAATTCAACTTAAAAACAATCAAATATGCTGGGGGTTAAGTAAAAATAAATAAATAAATAAATAAAAATACAGCTACATGGATAAATCTGCACAACAGTAAACATATTTTCTTTGATTCAGTTTTGCCATTCAATCCTCTTGAGTTCAGGATCCCACATCTTGATTTGATAAAATGTTATGAAGTCAAAACTTTCCAAAGTTCTGAAATTTCCTCACATTCATATCTAAAATTTGATAGATGAGAATCAATTCTATTACTTCATGAAAAAAGTTATTCTTTTGTTGATTTGACTGGATGCTCAAACTGATTCTGTTGTAGAAAAATGAACTGCTCCTCCAGCTTTCCAGCAAAGAACCGAATGTTTTAACAAAAACTGAAAAGTAACTCCATAACATGAAACTGGCATAGTGTTTATTTCCCCTGTGATGTGCATATCATTTACAATTTTGGCAAAAAGTTTGGCTTGTTCTCATCAAATAGTAACCGGTCATTAACCCAAACGATGCTGGAAGATTTTAGCCACATCTGGATGTTTTTCTCAGAGAAATGCTCTATGCTTTGTCACTTAATGGAGGAAATTATACTTTTGAAGCTCCGATCTGCGCTGTGCCATGGAGTAGATTTTAAAGTCTATTTTAAAATCTACTCCATGTATCCTACAGCCACAGCAAACTGTGGCTGTAGGATACAAATGAGAAAATGTCACAAAAAGAAAACAAAAAGAATCCTAACTTTATTCAAAGTTGATCAGACTGATTCAGAATCTAAAAACTGAAACTGAATCACAAAGGTGCTTCAAAAAAAGGGTTTGGTTTAAATGTGTGCAAACCAGATTACAGCACCTTTTAAACTTTACATACTTTACATCTGAATAATTTTTATTTTCACTTATGTATCAGATTTTATCTAAAAAAAAATTGAGTGATGCATGTGATTTACAGTATAAGCGGTTTGACTACTCACTGGAATGACTGGGCAGAGGTACAGAGGTGAAGAGGAGCACTGCCATCTGCTGCCAGCACTTCAGGATCTGCTCCATGGGTCAGCAGCAGCTGGACGCAGACAGGGTGGCCGCCTATGCAGGCGTCGTGGAGTGCCGTGTTGCCTCCAGGGTTGGCGTTCACCTCAGCACCACGAAACAGCAGCTCCTCCACACACGCCGCGTGACCCCGGCTGGCAGCCAGGCGCAAGGCCGATGTTTGTTTCACCTTGGAGCTCAGCGTCCACATGCCTGACGAAAGCAGCAGCGTTTACCGGCACTGCTAGCACTTAAATTAGCAATATAAACTAAAATCTCTGAGGGGTACCCATTTCCGGAGCCCACACCATCTCCTCATGCACCGTCTCCATCAGGGCGTTGACCATTGCAGGGTCTTTCAGCACAGCGTAGACTCCCTTTATGTCTCCGCACATGAAGGTGTTGTGGATGCTGGTGTCTCTGCAGCGGATCTGGAGTGAAGGGGCTCTGACCTCTTGGATCCGCTGCTGCCGGGGAGGCAGTCGGGGGGCCCGAGGCAGCGGAGGCCGGATCATGGCTCTCCTATGAGCCAAAGCTCGCCGTTCATCCTCCCAGTCCTGGAGCTCCTGCTCCAGTCTGAGAGAGCGCAGTGAGGTAGAGGAGAATGGAAATGTGTCCTTGGACATAACACCCTACAATCAGTCCCATAAAGTAAAACCAATGAGAGAATGGCAAGCAAACAGAAGTCATTAACTTTATTCAAACCCTTTGCATATAAGAAATGAGCAGTGTTGCTTATAGAAATGTCAGCAAAGAGCTTTCACTCACCCTTTAATGGAAGTGCCTCAAGTTTCTATGGAATCCAAACAAATATAAAGCAACTTACAAAAACTGGACCCATTTCTGTTTTAAGTTAAACTCATACGAAATAAAACTTCTAATCAAATGCCCTTCATTTGTGCACAGTCACAAGATAACTGCTCAAATAACTTCTACACTGGATATTTTTAGATCAGAATGCAAACTGATACTCGCACTATTTGATGTCACCACTAGATGGCAGCATTAGCCTTAGGTTTATTTCCAGTAAAGAGCAAAGAGCACAGATGTTGACATTTAATACAACACAGAGGACGAGATGAACTGAACCGAGTGATTCATAAAGCAGCTTACCATTTTTACTTATTCATTTGTTTACTTCGGGCTGGAAAAAGATAAATAAAATAAGAGTAAAATAAGACGTGACAGTAATAACGATTGTCATCAAGTAAAAAGCTAACAACTAATAATTAGAAATTCCGAAATACAGAGCAATTAAAAAAAATATCCTCTATACATTTGTAAACGATGGGCTTTTCAGATTTATTATTTGTTGACAGAAGTTCTGTGCTCTTAAAAGTTTGCGCTTAAATACGAACAGAAAGTACTCTAGATGTTAGCTAAGCTTTTACAGCTAACCGATGCTACCTTAAGGAGCAGAGAACGCTCTTGACCGACGTCAACTGAATGCGTGAGTGGTCGTTACGTCAGCACGTCGCGTTCGAACGTATCGGCGGGGTACCAAGAAGCAGCAAACTGGGGAAAAGTTGCCTTCTGGTCGATCCTGTTTAGTAATTTAAGAAAAGACGTTTTGGGGAGAAAAACGACTCTTTTATTATCTGTCATTTATTGAATGGCATTCGATTTCAGTTTGGTGTATTTATCTGAACCCAACAGACTCTGCTTTCATCGTGATATTTCTTGACTGCCATGGTGAGTTATAGTCCATCAATCTGAACTGCTATCTGAGCTAACAGCAATGCTAGTGGATATTTTACGTCGGTTAAATCCATCCCTTGTTATTTCTTGTGCTTGAAGACGTTAAATCGTTGGACTCTCTTTTACAGACCTGCAAACTGAGTGGCCTGTTCAGCCTAGACGAGGACTTTGATGATGAGGTAACGCACCTGGTTCATATGTCTGATTATCACAGTGTCCTCTTTCCATTCGGTGATCTGCTGACCTCAGTTTGCTTCCTGTTGTCCCAGGATGTGCTGGGGACAGACTGGAGCCCCTGCTCGGTGGCAGGGCCATCCAAAGCGGCAGCTGTCGTGTCATCCTGCAGCCTGCGGGCTTCGTCTGTTTCTCACAGAGACCAGGAGAAAACGTGCCATCAGCCAACGGGAGAGAAACTGGCTGAACTGTGCAATGGCTCGGTGTCAGGGAGCGCCATGCACAGTGGTGCTGCACAAACTGTTGCTCAGGGGTTGAGGCAGATCTCCTCTTTCCCTGCTTCCTCTAACACATCCTGCACAGCTCAGGATGATTTTGATGACTGGGACGTTGACCTGGCCGACCTGGATGAATGCGACAACCAAACAAGGCAACTTTCTACGCCTGCAGCAGCTGAGCCTCCGTCTTCAGCGAAAACACTGAGACCTTCTACTTATGTCACGATCCAAACGCCTCCTACTAGGAGCCTGCGGGACACTTCTAGCTACTGTAATTCTATTGCAGCTCCACAGAGTCTTTTTTCTGCACATCTGCAGCCTCCAAGTACCAGTTGTGCTTCATTCCCTGCAGCTCCTCCACAGACTCCCAGCAGCTTTTCCAGGATTCCTGCCGTTTCCTCGGCACCCAGCAGTTTCTCCAGGATTCCTGCCGTTTCCTCGGCACCCAGCAGTTTCTCCAGGATTCCTGCCGTTTCCTCGGCACCCAGCAGTTTCTCCAGGATTCCTGCCGTTTCCTCGGCACCCAGCAGTTTCTCCAGGATTCCTGCCGTTTCCCCGGCACCCAGCAGCTTTTCCAGGACTCCCAGCCATCCTCAGCAGCTACAGAAGCCGTGGATGACTCCACAAGCCGCCTCTCAGCCTCGGAGTCTCTTTAATACGGTCTCCCCGGGGCCTCCTGCCTCTGTGAACTCCTCCGCCCCGAGCCCACATCCTCTGCACACACCGGTCCTCACCAACCGCCTGGTCCAGCTGGTGTCTGCGTCCAGCAAACTTCCCAAGAAGAGGCGGCGCTCCGAGGCTCACCAGCCCCAAACGAGACGCTTCCCTGGTCCTGCAGGCCTGCTGCCTCAACAGGTTGGATCCTTTCCTGATTTTTTTGTTTTCCATAGCTTGTTTTTTTTAAAGACTTATGAGCTTATTTTCTCACTTCTCTCAGCCTCAGGGTCAGAATCTGGACGAGATCGTGGTTTCCGTTCCTAACACTCCTTCTCATGGGGCTGTGGCTCGACTGCCGAGTCAGGTAAAGAAAACCCCACAGGCAACCCACCGGACACGTCGATACAAAAAGCAAACAACTTTTAAATAACTCGTGTTGCAGAAAGTGAAAACTATTCCCTCAAGCTAAGAGAATTAAACATTTTTCTCCAGCCTGCAAATATTCCCACTAGAGGAAACCCAAATCTCACACCATTTAGAAATTTAATTAAGTTGATTTTTGGATTAATGCTCTTTTTAGAGCCTTATAAATAAATGAAATGATTGCAGCAGATATAATTTGGTCAATGTTTACAATGAGGCATGACCAGATTTTCAATCTTTCTGTAATTTACTCCTTAAATCTGCAGAGTAGAGCTGCACTAATGAGTCTTTTTACAGATTTTGAATCCTTGCAAATATAACTTCTATGTATTGACTTGGTTTTATATTAAATGTTGCAAATTTTGACCATAAAAGATTGGATTTGGTAGAAATGGGAAAAGTGGTGCATTCGTTAAGGTTGAAAACTCATGTTTCATGTTTGCCATGGAAGAATGTTAGGCTGTAATCTGAATTAATACCAGTAAGTGAGTTCTGGTGACTACTGCAGACTTGTTTCTGAATTTGGTTTTTAAGGTTGTCGTGCTTGGGTTTGATCTGCAATTTTTTCTTGTTTTCACTCATAGATTAACAACCACAACAAAAATGCATTCAGCATCAGAATTATTTAAAATCTGCTAGAGTCTGTGCTTTTGGGTGTTTGTCAAACTTTCTTTATCACCTACTGCTGCACGCTTTCATTGCCTCCTGGGGAATTGCTGCTTTTAAGTTGTTTTTCTCCTCTGACACAGCTGCTGATCTGTTGTTTTTCCCCATCATCAGTGGTAGCCTGTGTGTCCGCGCTCTGCTCGACACGACGGCGGCCTCCCCTTCTGACTGATTAAGAACATTTTCTTCCTCTTTACAACACGGAGGATGTAAACAAAACTGATTTTTTTTTTTATTTTCTCTAACCGTTTCCTAACCAATCCAGTTCCTGGTTCTGTGTGGTTAATCAGATTTCATTTCCATGTACAGTTTTGGCCTCTAGCTGTATTGAAATTAAGAGTGCTGCTTTGTGTTTCACTGCTGAGTCATTATGCGTTTTTGTAATATTAATTTTCTTCCATCTTCAAGGCTGTCCTGTGTTTACTCAAACCGAGGGGATACATTTTTCAGTTATATTGCTTTCAGGGTTTAATGAGAATAATAAGAAGAAAAAAATGAATCTTGCTTAATTTATTTTTAGTCCCACAGGCCAGTGGTTCTGAACAGAAACAGTTTTAAGATTCTGACTGATTAACTGGATCACAGTTTTAGTACAAAGTCATTCTGACTGTGTAAGTTGTGATAAATCCAATTTATTTCTCTCTCTCTTTCTAATCTATCATTTGGTGCTTCCAACTCTTTAGCATCTGCGACAAATATCTGGCTCAGTTGGGGGTTTACTGCAGTGAGATTCATCCAACAAGAATTAACATATTGGAGCTGGTGACGGTGGAACTTGTAACCATCCTTTGCAGTCGTCTGCACACTGATGTACTTGATAACTTGGGCTCAGTAGAAATCCATATCACACTATAAAAGGGAACATATTGTACTTCAATTTGTGTTTCTACTGCTTAAAGAAACAGCCCAAGCACTTAAAATAATAAATAAAAAAAAAAGACTTTTGGCAATAAGTTAATGTTGTTTGATGTCTGAAAAACGTTCCATTTCAAAATCCTCCGGTATGTAACGTCACAAATCAGCAGGCACTGCTCGTCACCTAGCAACCCCAGCAAAGCACAGCCCGTTACTTAGCAACCCAGACTGAGCTCCAAGTACATTTGATCAGCTGGTTTTACCACTCCATGTGCTGCACAGTGTCTGCTGGAACTTACCATCCAGAAACTACTTGCTGCATTCTTGTTGGTTGTGCAGGAGGCTCCACTTCTGCTTTTCAAGGCTGTAAATGCACATCTGTTTGCAGCCATTTTCATGTGTGAGCGTAAACGTTGAGTTGGGGGAGGGTGGCCAGCAGCAGCTTATTAGGATTTAAAGTGACAGGAGGTCCTAAAGTAGCTCACCCTGTTATTATCTGAGTGATTTTGTGCAAAAAAAAACTGTAACGAACATGTTCCAAATTGCCCATAGACCCATCCTAACCTGTTTATGGAGGCATAATAAGTCACCTTTAACAGTTTTGCACCTCTTTGTGTTGGTCTACGCCGTCTGAAAGTTGGAAAACTTTTCAGATTTACAAATACTTCCGAAAGGCGCTGAATGCGTAGCAGCATTAAGGACACCGTCCCCTCTGTCGTTTCAGTGCTCCAGCTCACAGTCTGAGGAAGAGGAGTTCAGCGGCTGCGCCTGGGCGGCGATGAAGGCTGAGATGGGACTGGATGAGAGGAATCTGTCGTGCTTCCTGCACACCTACAGCGTCGTCATGGTGCTCCGAAAGGTAGCGCACTCCCGAACTTCCCGTCGGTGCTGCCGAGTATTTAGGTCAGGCGCTTTTTAACAATGATTCATCATCTTTAATAACAGCCTGTGTGACTGCTGGGGGTCTATTGGCATAATCAAGACAAACGGCGGCGCGGCTCTTGAGGTGTTTTATGATTATAAAAAGTATGATCACTAATCAGTCACACTAATAGGGACTCTGCTGCGGCTCTGTTCCCTCTGTGGGCAGGAGCCACTGGAGGCAGCGTCTGTGAGTCTGAGCGCACACGTTGGCCTCTG